TTAATACATATAAGCTCACTCTAAAATTAAAATATTCTTAAAAAAAAAAAACCAAAGAGATAACAGAGATGTTCTCTATTTTAAGATTAATTATAGGTCAGTTAATTCATTCTAATATTAAAGCTAATACTAAATTTGAAATGCTAAATAAAAAAATATTTTGCACTATGTTTATAATATAAAGACAATATATTATATGGAAATGGTGTCCTTTTAATAAACACGGACTATACTTATCAAATATTGACTTATAAAAATGTAAACATTTACACATATTTAATAGTACATTACATTTCTTCAAATATAGTATATAATCTCAAAAGTTGTTCATAAAACCTAAAGTAAACATATTAAAATAGGTTTTCAACATCAAAATCAAATTATCAAATCAATCAGTATGTTGGAATAAAAATTAATAAATTTAGCTTATAAATAAAAACTATGTTTTGCTAATTATTGACTATATAAACAACCACATAAACAATATGTTTTAAATTCCCTTAATTTAATATCAGTTTGTTTCAAATCAACTGAACATTAATTTGGTACAATAAAAATAAAAAAAGTTAAAAAATAAACATAATTATAGTTATTAAGTGGATGTAATATTAATTATTAACAGTGTAATTCATAGTAGGTTATGTAAACCGTAAACCCAGTGAAAAATTTAATAGTCATTTTAAAAGCCCAACTATATTTTGTTCTAGTGATCTACTTTATCATAAATAAATTTTGCAGACTCTCTTATATTTTCATCGACTATCATTTCAATCATAAATTCACCACTACATGTAAAATAATAGATCTATTTATTTTATAAATTATTATTAGAATTAATACAACTATGATTATCCAGAACATAAATTTGTATATTATTAACAATAGGTATGAGAGAAAGAAATAACCAATATGGATATCACATCCTCTTAAGTACCAAAAAAATGTATTATTTAATCACAAATGTAATTACTTTCAAAAATTCATTAAGGTCATCTTTAACATCGTTATGATTTAAGTTATTTGGTAATGTATTAAATTTGCTTAAAGAATTGTTTCCATTTTGATGTTGACCATTTTTTGAGTGATTAGTTACATATTTACTTTGTAGTTTCTGAAAATCCGTTTAATTATAGAACATGGCATAATATTACATTGCAATTAAAAACAGGTCTTCACCATTAATGGCACATCAGTTTCTCTAAGAATTCTATTTTTGATTCTTTGGTCATCATCTTCTTTAAGATGAATCATGTCAGTTACAGCCCAATAGATTCTTAATGCCCCTTCTAGAATAGGACGACCATTTACCTATAACAATGAATTAATTTTATTTATACAAAAATTCTCTAAAAAAAAAAAATAAAAAACAATTTCAAGAAATTTACTTCACGGCTACGAATCTCTCCACTGCGCCCTTCATAATATTTGTTGTAAATTTTGAGTTTTTCGTCCAACTCAGACCTATAAAAAACAAAAACATATATGATATAAAAATTAAATTAAATATCAATTTTTATTACATAGAAATAAATTATAATAAAACCTTTCAACATTTGGCCCAAATGGATATTTGTTTTCAACTCTACCAAAACTTGTATGAGACTCCACTCTTGTTCCATGACCATATAATTGAGGTCCAAATAACACACCATAACATGGAACATGACAGTAAGGAACACCTTTATGCTAATACAAAAATATACAGTATACACATATTAGCATATTAAATCATAATGACAATCAAATAATATTTGTTGTTCTTAGACATACCTCTGCATGTTGTCCAGGATTTAATCGCTTACTACATTCTTCACATCGTAGACATTCTGGATGCCAGTCATAGCCTAACGATTGCATGCGTTCCGCTACGTAAAAGAAACCATAGTTCTGTACTGATTATTAAAATATAAATTTAAAAACTTACCAAAGTACACTGGTTTGCCACATTTATGGCATTTCCACATGGCTAAATAAACTAAGTTGAGATTAATTCCAGCCTAAACCTAAATTTTTAATTTGATAAATATTCATTAGTTATTCAAACATTGATATAATGACATTAATATTATATTATTGATCTATATTCCATAAATGATTTAAGAAGACCATGTTTTATGTTTTATCCTTTTATCTTTAATTATTTATATTATTATTTATTATAATTTTGTTGTTATCAAGAGACAAGAATGATAATGAAAATAATACCACTGTAATACTGTATTAATTATTATGCAGTGTGACCAGAATTTGAATAATTTACAAAATAAAGACTGTTCTCTAAATATGGCACGCACGGAATGTGAAATTCACTCCCGTTACAAGTTTACAACAAAGTTTTACCGGAACTCGGAAGAGTCGATGTTTTCATGAGTTAGTTTTCCTATTAATTTGGGCCATTTAGGGGATTCAACATACGTTTCAGACTTCAAATAAATATTTATTGCTCTATACAAAAGTCATTGTGTTAAATTTACATTGTTCAAAATTTGTACTGGCAGAGTAGCATTATATATATGTATATAGGTGTATATATATTATATATTCATTTATAATTTTATAGCAATATTTTGCAAGATGGGCAGTAATTGGGCACATGCAATTGAAACAAAATAATTAATTGTGTTTATCAAGTTATTCGCAACTTAAATAGGGATTTTCAATCCGCAATATTACAATAACCATATGTGTTAATAATAATATAATAATGCCTTTTATTTAATATTTTGTTTTAAATTTTTAATACTATATAAAAAAATATTTATATAAATTATGAAATTATTAATAAGCATTACCGTTTATGGGCAATGTTGAGATATTATTTTAATACTACACGTTTTCAGTATACGCAACGATAATATAAACAAGTCTAATAACTAAAAAAGTTAGATATAGGTACGATAAAATCGATTGTTATGTACCGAATATCAATTTACAGACTTCTGTCTGCTACTATGAAATAAAATTTACGATAAGTGTGTATTATACCTTATTAATAGTAGCGCAGTAGCCACACAAATTAATTTACCACACAGTAAATTTATAGTTGTTAAAAATTAAATCTAAACAGAAAGATCGTGGTATTGACATTTGAGAGCCAATTTGAAACCGATTAATTTATGGTCTTTTGGTGATTAATCAGTAGTCACTATTCACGAGTGTCGATATATAGAGGTATATTACCGAAAGGTACGTATATGAGTATATGACAATGTCAAAAACACTATATATTGTATTTGCACCTCTGTAACAAATAATATTATTTTATAAACTAATAATCTCAGTAGTTGAAGCTGTCAAACTTCTACTTCTAACCACACAATTTAATTGGAATTTTTTTATGCATTTTGAAATAGATTACTTGCGGCCGAGTTGCGCTCTTGCGCGTGACTATGTTCGGATGTTCCCCTCACAGTTATTTTTATTATTTATTAAACGAGTTAATTTTTTTGTATACGTACCTATTCTATACATGGTCCAATTATCCTGTTTAACGTCAGAATAATCAATCATCCATGAACATATTTTTTCTTTTAAATCAGATATACCGTAACTCTTGCATATAATATTTTATTTAAATTTATTTTTTACTCTTAAAATGATAATCCTTCAGATGCCCACATTCATTTATTTTTTATTTTAGAAATGGTATTGAACAGTAAAAATGTGCTCAACTAAGAATTAAGTCCTATTATAAGTAGTTTGGATAGTGGACAGTTTTAAAGTTGATGTATTTGAGTGTTTTCACGAATTGGTTTTACTATTAACAGTTGATTCTGAATTAAACCTGACATTGTGGATCATTTACCTAATAATTAGTATATAAACATTTTTATTTTATTACCTATCTAACTAATACATCTCTCTCTTTATATATAAATATTACACACATATATATATATATATAGTGGCACCGAACTTATGAACTAGTGGCGCGTCAACAGAACTGAAGCAATCGCTTCATTTAATGTTAAAATAATATAATATTAACATAATAAATGTTAAAATCCTTAGTAGTGGGTGTGTGTGTAAATATTTTTATTTTGCTTCGCTTAAATTTATTTAATTTGGCGCCACTGTATATATATATAAATGTGTAGTTTTATTTGAATTTTTTTTTTCTTCTTAAAATACATTTATCTTTGGGTAACCAAATTCTTCCAATTATTTATCTCATTTATTCAATTAATTAAATTTTTCTATATGCTTTTTTTTTAATCTTTGACTAATTATTCCAGAGTGACCTCTGAATAATCATAACTCAATAATAAACTGATAAGAATTAGTAATATTTTTAGCTTAAGAATTAGTTTTATAATAGTAGGTACCTATATATATATACCTACTATTATAAAACTAATATATATATATAACTATATATAACTTAATATATATATATATATATTAAACTACCAACACTGATCAAATACATGTATTGTTTAATGTTTTTTACAATATTATTCTGCATACTTTTCAACACAAATTATACCAGGATGTAGAGCACAATTGAACTTGTTTAAGTTCTATTTTTAGAGGTTTGTTTTGATTAAGATATTGACTTATTTGAAAATAAGGTTTAATTCCCTATAAACATAATATAATTTGTCAAATAGGCTTATCCTATCACAATTCATTCATAGAAATGACTCAGTAAAATAAAAATTAAAAGTCCCCTACATAAAAATAATAAAAAGTATGGATCTTTATAAAAATAAAAAATTATCAAATTAATTAATATTTATTAGTAAAAAAATTGTATGTATAAAAATAAGTCACATTTAAGTATATTTATAATACATAATATGATGAATCTAGTGTACCTATTTTAATAGTTTGTGTGAAAATAAAAATGTATTATGTCGTCATTCATTAATTAATAAAGTGTATGTACAAAAATAAGTATACCTTTTAAATTATAATACACATGATATACATTATATTTAGTGTTTGACTCATTTGTTTATATTAAAATTTAACAAATCCACTAAGTCTTTAATCAAAACATATTTTTCAATAACAATTGTTTTTTTTTTCTTTTAGATACACATTTTTTAGTATGGTAAATAATAAACGAAACCACCTGTTCTAGATTCTTTTAATCGTTTTAAATGTCTTAATATAGGAATTATATTTAATGTAGTTTTATCCACTTTTGTTTCACTAAATCTAGAAATATCATCAGCAGTTACAAAGTATTGACCTTAATAAAAAAAAAAATTGTTAGTTATAAATTGTTTTTATGATTACTCTTATTTGTTCATACCTTGTCCAACATTGTTTTGTTGAATTTTCCACGTGTTGTACATATCTTGATCTTTTTTTTTTAATACATTTCTTGGCTTTCGCAAAATATCATATTTATTTTCTAATGCAATATTAATACCATCTATCACAACATTCACATGTAATGATGTTAATCGACCTTTCATATACCTAAACAAAGTAAAATAAACTGTAACAAATAATAAAATAAAATAAAAAATAATAAATGAATTTAAATTGTATGCAAACCAGTTAAGATATTTTATTACTAGAATAGACTAAATTTTGCATACATACAAAAAGTTATATGTCAGTTATCATGCAGAATAATAATTTATGATTAGACTACACTTACATTTGTTGTTATCATACACAAAATGTACAATAAATCAAATTGTATTTTCAAGAATCCATTTAGTATTGTTAATTTTGAAATTATAGTAGTATTATACAATTTTCTACTATTAAATTAAAGAGTAAGGATATTATTTAGGAATATCCTAGGATAATCCTAGTAAGATTTTGTTGATATTTTAATCTTTAAGTGAACTGCAGTTATTGTTATGTGAAATACCTACTAATAAGTCTACTAAATGTCTGTACAATATTATTAACTTCATACATAACAACTGATAATAGATCAATTCATCCTTATATTAAAATTAACAATATAAAATGGATCAGACTGAATACAAATTTATTTTACCATACAATTGTATGATGGACACAATAAATGCGAGTATAACATTCTCTTAATAAAAACTATAATAATGTTCTTACTTTGGAACAGTATCCATTTCATTGTTGCTAACAGATTTTAAAAGTGGAATATCAAGTACTTGTTTAGCAGACTGAGATTTTAAAGACTGTCCCATCATACTATTACTCATTATTGTACCATTAGACATAGTAGTATGGTGTATAGTGTTTTCAGATAGAGAATGAGCATCATTCCACATTGGTACAGGTGACATTGATATGTTAGTCATATTATTTGAATTATTTCCTTTATACTCTTTTATTTCATTATTTTCATTATACTGTTGTGCTTTAAGTTCATTGGTATAACCAGAATTTAATTGAATAAAAACTATCATGTGATTACATCTTTCCTCAATCATTTTCAATTCATCTAGTTGTCTTTGAAATGACTAAAAAAAATATACAATTACACAAAATAAGGATGCTAATATCTGGATAATTTATCTGCGGCTTACTGGGCTTAGACTAATATCACAATATCAGTTTATATTTCTTATGTTAGGTAGAAAAAACAAGTATTTCACACGTGTAAAAAGTACTTAGTTTAAAGTAAATAGGTACATAATAGGTATAAGTAAGTGTGTCCGATCTATAAGTTGCCGATAATATCACAGTGGACAAAAATATTTTTTTACAAATACAATGAAAAAGGTATCAAATTTGTTTATATAATATATATTTAAAATATTTTATTATACTTGACAAGTTGGTATTTTTTTTTATTTTATCCTAACATTTTTACCAGTAAACCGCATAATGTATTAGTACCAAAAAGGGAATAGTTTATTTTATTAAAATTAACTAACCGATTTACGAGCATTTTTTTCTTTAATTAAAGCATCTTTGAGAATACTAATTTGATCGTCAAATGACATAATTAAATTATCCAATTGTTCACAAGATTCTAATATTTCTTGTCCGCCTTCATTATTTTTGCAACATAACATTACATCTAGGGAAGTACTAAGGTTATCAATGGTTCCTACCATTTTTTCAAGATTGAAAGTACTCATTTTCAGTATGATTTTTTCTAGAACAAATAATTTAAGTTTTTTATTTAACATTTATTATATTATAAAAAAACACCTACTAATTATATGTATACTAAGGTTAATATAATAAACTATTTAACTATACATACAATACATTAATACAATTAGCTTAGTAAAATAATTGAACACAGCTAATTTGATTCAATTTTATATTCATGAAATATATTTCAAAAATATTACACGTAATAATATGATAAAAGTTAATAATGATTTAAATAGTATTAAACACCTCAATACCACATCCAAATAAATTTAAAGTAATTGACATTTAATTTCTGACTATTATGAAAATATTTAAATATCATACATTTCAAATAATAAATTGAATTAACAAATAAATATTGCAATTCAAAAAGATAACAAACCCACTATACAAATAATAGATATAATATTGAAATAATCTGATATTATCTTGATTCATATACTTAGGATAATCAGATTAAGTTTCAAGTCACAAATACAATTATACACTAATTTAAATTAATTAATTAAATGTTTTAAATAATTAGTCCAAACACTTCTTGCCTATATTAACTCATCACTTAATGAGTACAAAAATAAGCGTGTGCACCTATAATAATGATTCATAACTCATGAATCTAAGAAAAACTTAACAATAAAAAATTTAAATATATTTAGTTAATAGTTGGCAGGTAGCAGTTTTCAAAATGTCTCAAAGGGTTTTACCTAACTGTAACTAAGTATTTTAAGCATAAAAGTAAAAACAAAACGTAAGAAAGCAACTCACATAATCTTAAAATACCATTGAAACAATGACGCACGGATACAGGATAAGATTCTTTTTTAGTTCACTATAAAAAAAAAACGAATAAGAATAATAATAAAAAAAATAAAATAATTTTAAACCTAAAAACAAAAGATGATTGATTAAAAAAAAAAAAAATAGAATATTCATTAGACCTGTGGACTGTGATAAGACTATCAGAGATCATATTGTTATTGTATATTAGATTGCATTTTAATGCATTTAGGACGCATCATAATATTCTATAATTCTGTATTATAGCAACGTTGAATTTTTGTGGTTGTATCTTATTATTCATATTTTAACATTTTTGAATGGCCTCTAAGTTTCTTTCGATCAGTTTTTCAGACTTTTCACCAAATGCTTGAATTATTATTTTCTATTTCTATTTATGATAAGTAATATTAGCATTAAAAATGTAGGTGTTTTTATCAAAAATCTACAGTCACAATATTTTTTTATAAATATTTGAAATTATATTTTTGACAAATTTTGTGAAAATCAAGAAAATTACAAATTTATTTGTAATTAGAAATTCAAAAAAAATATTCTGTTTATACCTATAGTTTTTAAAATTAATATGGAATTCTTATAAGTTTTGCAATTTATATTAAAACATTATTTTCTATTGAAAAAACAAATTAACTTTTTATAATTATTTTAAATTAAAATTTTTATGACGTAGTATAATAATAACTATTTCTCTTCAAACAATTTTTGTTTCTTGTTGTAATTTAAAAACAAAAATATTATTTATACACGAATTATTCATAGATATTTGAATTTTTCATTAAATGTTTATGTTATCTTTTTTTATACTTGGTATAATTTTCATAATATTTTTACTCTTTTTTTATTATTTATAGACATGTAAATTTTTCAAATTTTATTTTTAAAAATTATTTTTAAAGTCAAAGACCAAAGTTCTTAAAATTGTATTACAAAATATCACATATACGTTGTTCTTGCGCCTATATTTGAGAAAAAAAATTATAAAAATGTATAAACACAATTTTTTACATGTATTTGAAGTTATCACAAAAATGTATAAAGTAGATACAAATATTTTATAATAAATAATTTATAAAATGAAAACTTTTTACTTTTTGAAACCACAACATACATTTTTAATTTCAAATTAAAATGTTCTTTTGAAAAGCTTGTTGTTAACATTCTACTTATCGGAGAAAAGTGACTAAATCATTGCGATCGGTAGATCGTAGATGTTTGAAATGATTGTGATACACAAACGTACCTATTCAACACAAAAGACGTTTAAGAAAATTTAACTTACTACATTTCTGTCATATTTTATAAAAGAAAATAGAACGATCTAATAGCCAATAAAATAACACAACAAAAAGGTTTATTTATGTCAAACATAATTTTTAATATCTACTAGCTATCATAATATAACTAAACAATATTAAATATTATCCGTTAAATGTTAACGAAGTAAACAATAGGTAACAAACTGCGTTATACGCAACATAATAAACGGCGGAAAAACTTTTTTATTTGTTTCCAAAAGGAACGGCGACATTTTTTAGCTCTATATACCACCGTCTCGATTCTTTCCCCTGCTGTTTCATTTGGAATTGGAACGTTTTCCAAAATGTCCACTGAAGTGCACTCTCTTTCAATTATTTCGGTCGTAAAGGTTATTTTAATGTTTGGCATTGATATACAATATACATCTTTTAGCAGGCGGACTGGAGACATCGGACTTTGACACATCCGGTTCTGACAGGTTTTTGATATTATTGTCATCCGAAACCTGCTCTAACGCCAATGAGTAATGAGGTGGTGAAATCTTATCTTCTTCGGCTGGAGCCATCATTGCTGCATTGATTATAGCAATCATACGCCTCATTTATGGCCCGGCGTAGTTTGCTAATACAATTGGCCTATTATTTGGTGGAGATGCTTTAGGAGTCAGTTGCACTGAGACTGCGACTTGCTCAGCTAGTACTTAGTAGTAATAAATTTGATGTTCGGCAAGGAACTAGAATACGTTTTATTTATAAAGCTTGAGCGTTTTCAATTTTCCAAAACTTTTAATGTTTGACCGTTGAAAAATTCATTCAAAATGTATTCCCTTAAAGCTGCAGCCATCTTAACATTGGTTGTTATATTCTGCATGGTTTATTTATGGGATGTATTTACGATACCTAGATAAAGTTTAGAGAATAGAATGAATTGTTCTATATGCCGTTAAGCCGCTTGAAACGATTCTAAAAGCGAACTGTTAGACTGTATTATTACAAAGATATTTTACTTTTTCAACATTTTGTGGTTGACAATAGTAACCAATAGGTTTTTAATTATTTATTTATTCAATTAATTATATCTATTCAGGCCAAAATAAATCAAAAAATTATACAAAAATGAACAGAAAATAAGAATTGTTATAATTAGGACTGGGATCTTAATGCCCTAAAAATTCTCAAAAAATACAAAACTGACTTAAAAAATTCAACAAATGCATTTAATTATAGTTATAAAATTGAAAAAAATTTTAAAATGGTTAATAATCATTAAAACGAATAGTATATTTTTTTTCACTATTGTTAATTGTTACTTATTTAGTTCTGTTTTCTTAATAATTTATTTTAAAATAATAATTTAAAAAATTGCTATCGATGATAAATTTATCGTGCTATTTAATTTATTATTGATACTATGTCGACAGTTTGCTAGAAGTCTCTTGTTAATTGGAACAGATTTCATTTATTTTATAAACAAATTGTAAAAAATGGTTTAAAAACTAAGAAAATGCCCTACAAGAGTAATTAAGGTTAATTTTGTCAAAAAAAACAACAAAAAAAAATATTTCAAAATAATCAGTAACACCCAAAACATATTTTATACTTACGGACCAACGTTTCAAAACACCAGAAAAAAGATGCCTTTCTATCAAAATCCCAGCCCTCGTCATAATATAGTTAATATACCTACTAAAATTAAGTTTTACATTTCATTCACCTAGTCAAAACCTAGAAATAAATAATTGTAAAACTTACATTCACAAGATATTTTAATTTTATTTAAAAATACTTACATACATATTTTGTTAAATAAAAATTTATATGTAATTGCAAAATCTTACGATCTTGTACACAGTTTAATATTTAAAAAATAATCTTATTGTTGTCATAGCATGAGCTCACGGGCACAAGGCATAAAAAAGATATACCTATAAAAATAATTATTTTTATAGACCTTCAAAGTTTTAATTAGGACAAAATTACATATTTAAATAATGAATATTGATGCTCATAAAATTATTATATTATTTATATACCTATTTTTTTCTCATTAGCTGAAAATTAATAAACTACCTACCTATGTTACCTACATGCATAATAAGAAAATATGATAATTAATTTAACAGAATTTTTAGTAACAGAATAATGTGAGGAGGGAGACTATCCCTCGTGGAACCCAACGTGATTTTATATTTTTATTGTGTAGGTACTTATTTGAGTAAGTCTCTGCATTATTGATGTTTCAAACAGCATGTTAGATTTCCAGGGAAAAATTTGCCGGGAGAAAAAGTTATAGGGTTTAAGTGATGTTAATAATTTTGAATGGAATTTGAAATAGTGTTTGGAGAATAGTTGTCATCCTGTTTTGATGTTTACTTATATCGTTTTAAATCTGATTATCTGAATAATACAATTCACAAGTCCACATGGATTTTATAATTGATTTATACATTACTTTTTGTGTGCACGAACATTTTTGACTTAAGGATTGGCCGAAGAAGGTGAGTCGACATTTAATTTTTTCTTATAACTTTTAAATGAAGGCTCTATTTAGTCTATTGTAGTCTTATCAGGAATAGGCAATATTTAGATATTTTAAATTTGAAAAAGATTTGTATAGTCGTCGAAAATATAGTGGAAAACATACACCTTTTTTTTTAAAGTGAAATTTTTATGAACTGATTTTTTGAATTGATTTTGTTTGGCTATTTAGATACCTAACCGGTTTTCAATGTCAATTATTAAGTAGTTTTGGAGGTTTATAGGTAACCAAATTATTTCCAAGAGAGAGGATTGCTTATCATTAGCATATGTGGCAATTAATCGTACCTATTTGTTGTATTTGGCATGTCGAGAGTATAAAAATATTAAATAGGTCTGGGGAGACCTCTGCTTGTATATAAAAGTAAGACGAGGCATTAGACTGTTGAACTACAATACCTAATTTAAAAACATTCTTGATACCCAACTTAAATTTTTTACGACTTTTACGTATCTATATCATGAATTTTACTAAACATAAAATTTATTTTAAGATATTAAGTTTCTATATATACTATCAACCTATGCACACTGTTTTGCGGTAATGATTCATTATAATTATTTTTATAATCAAGCTCATGTTACTTTTTTGAATAATAATTTACATTTTTTATTTTATATTCTGAAGAGCAAAATAATTTTTAGAATATTTCGATAGATGAAAATCAAAATTCAAATGAGAAGTTTTTGAATTATAAGTATTTAAAGTTTAGGTATGTGAAGTGGAATGATACGTGGGGATACTCCTCGAAATGTTGGTTCTCTGTTCACTTAAAAATTAAATAATCATAACTCATAAACTATTTGTTGAAATTTAATTTTTATGTATCAAAATATTCCGAAAAATAATCTGGTTCGGAATATGAAATTAAAAATGAATGTTATTTAAAAAAATTAAATACTTAAAAATTATAACAATAAAAAAATTATTTTCAAAAGAGGTAATAGATTTTTAAATAATTAGTGTTGTAACACATAAGTATTAAATAGATAGTAAAAAAAGAATGTTATATCCAATTAATCAAATTAAACTTTACTTCGAGATCAGAGTTGTCTACATGTACTGTAAGAACATTGTTGAAAAAGCATGTTGTAAATTCAAATGCTTGTTAGTTATAAACTAAAATAAGAATATTCTAGAATTTTTATGAAATATGTTTAGTTAATATACAAAACTAAATTTTTTCACATAGGTAATATTTTCCAATAATAATTAATATTTTCATTTTTTATAATAGTACAATTAAGGATATAATTACTACTGCTATTTATATTTTAAATCATGGCCAATAGTGAGATTTGTTTGACACTGATTTAGCATTTCAAACAAAATTAACAAGTAATCACATAATACCATCTAAAAATAAGAAGAACAGAGGTTTTTAAATTTAAATCAAATATTCAAGTTAATATAATCATTATCAATTAAAAATAATAACTTAAGTAAAAGGACTAAGATAAAACTCATTTTATATTTCTTTAACAGAAAACTAAGATTATATTGCGTTTAATAATACAATTTTTAAAACATTCTCAAAATAATAGTAATTTGTTGCAAGAATTTAATTGTGACTATGGGATTTTTTTTTTTTTTAATATTACATAACATAAAAATTTAATAGTAATTTTTTTCCCAGTATTCTTTTTCCTCTCTTTCTTTTATGACTTCTTCAAGGTATGGTTGTAGATAACGGTCATCCTATAGCAATAAAAATTTATAGATATATAAAAATAATATTGATAAATATTTATGTATTTAAACATTACCTCTTCAAACTTAGTCCATTGTTCTTTAGGTAGTTCAATTTTTTGTAAAGAAAGCTGCATTGCTCTCATTATTCTGAATGATCTTTCATCTACTTTGTTTGCCGGTAGTCGTCTTAATGCTTCCTTAACATCGTCATTTTCTTGTAACACATCATCATGATGTAATCCTATATTAGAAAGATATAACAACTGTTATAATTTATACATAAAAAATTATTGTGAACATTTAATACTTACCAAATTTATTGAAACCAGAAAGATTATATGCCCAGCGGCGAACAGCCACTAAAAAATAAAAAAATATAATGAGCAACTATTATGAAACATGAAGAAGCATCATTGAGGATTATTATCGATTACTTACCATTGGAGGCTAAAGCTTTTATAATAGGCATGTTTAGGAAAAAATGAATAACTTTCTTAGATTACACAATTTGCAAAAAAGGTGAATAGTAATACTAAACGATATGAAAAATTAAAAAAAGAAAATGTATCTTATCTTATTGAAAATTGAAATGACCTTTATCAATATTATCTACTCAGTGTGGCCATTAAAGGTTTAAAATACATGTCCTCAATAATTTGTGTAAATCGTATGACATTATGGTTACAACCAGATTATAATCTATCGTGGTTACGATTTTAGATATCATGGTATACAATATACATCATATTAATCTAATACCGTGGTATACAGCTTGGAGGGCAAATATGTGCATTGCATAATACTATATTATAACAACATACTGTTGTGATGGCGCCAATTTTTATCACAGAAATATAGAATAAGAATATAATCCAAATAATATACCATATTAATCATGTTATTCATATCTCTACTAAGCCGATTCAATCGCCATTCCCTATTTACAAATTCCAGATTCCTTCGTGACTCGTGTCTCTGCCCTGTAAAGTGTGCACTGTGCACTAGTCGCTACTCATTATATTATATTAATTATAAACTTTAAAGTTTAATGTGAGTACTACTACTACACTTCAACAGTGCATAAATCGCCATAATCTGATGTCCTTACTTTTTGCTTATAGATATTTTATCATTTCTGTGTGTTTTGTATTAAGACGTTAATAATGATTGTAGTATATTTTTTGTTACTACTTGTGAGTTAAGAAAATCATTTTATGTAATGTTGTTCAAAAACATTCTGTATTAATGTAAGTATTAAAGTAATTGGGTTAATTGTTTATAAATATAAAGTCTAGATTTGTTAGCTCCAAAAAACTTTAAAATATACACTAAAAGTATGCTCTTATCTAAAATTGATTTATTCGTATGTTATTTTTTTGTTTTGTCATTTCATCTATAAAAAACAATTTTATTAATAAGTACGAGTTGGATTTGTTGTATTATACAACATAATCCACTATCTTATTAAATTAAGAACAGTGTTTGACATTTGAATATATATATATGTTACATACAAAGTCCGGAATTGTACATTTCGCAATTTGTACAGTGATTTTTGTACACATTGCGAAGTGTACTATGTTGCTGTATAAAGTAACTAGATTGTACAAGTTGCGTTATACTATTCGCAATGTGTACAATAATCACTGTACAAATTCCGAAGTGTACAATTGTTGTACAAATCATAAAATTTAAAAACATGTTCTAAAAATTACAATATAATAACTGTTATGTTTTAAAAGTATTTTCTTAATAAATATTACATATTACTTATTTTTGTGATTTGTTCAATGATTGTAGTATATTAATATGTAAAGACCTGGTATATCTATTTTTATATGGTATACTAATAAGTAATAATATCTAATATTAAAAAAATACTTTTAAAACATAACAGTTATTATATTGTAATTTTTAGAATATGTTTTTAAATTTTGTGATTTGTACAACAATTGTACACTTTGGAATTTGTACAGTGATTATTGTACACATCGCAACTTGTACAATCTAGTTACTTTGTACAGCAAAATTGTACACTTCGCAATGTATACAAAAATCACTGTACAAATTGCAAAATGTACAATTCCGGACTTGGTTGGAGTAACTTTCCTACTATTCACTATACTTCAGTGTGTGTACAAATTTAACACTGAAAATTTTATTTACAAATCATAAATATTAGGGAAATCATTGTTTTAGAAAAACTTGTTAAAATTGTTATTGGCAATGTAATACAATAAATAAGAAAATTGTTATGTAATATACATAGTGTTACGGTATCATTTAACTAAATATTCTCAATAACAATGAAAATAAAAATTTAAATTTTGTTTGTAATAAATATTATACTTGATATAGAATGATTATTTTAAGAGTGATTAAGTATTTCAATAGTATTATTTTTTTTAGAAAATTTAGGAAATATTTATTTATTTTTATCTTATTCTTATATTTGTTAGTGAAACCACTACCATTACTTTTAATTTGTAAAAGTAAAATTTGCTGGCTAGGAATATTAAATGATAATATAGTCGCTAAGATTATTTTTTACATATATAATAATTTATTAATATATACCAATCAATTTTCCAACTTAATTGTAGATATCACAAGACAATAGCATCTGATGAGCTGTCAAAAATATAGATATTTTTATTTGTAAGAAACAAATTTTTGTTTATCATTTCTTAAAGTATGAAAATATAATGGTTGCAGAAAAAGTCTTTTTTGCTCAATAACATTAATGTATATTAGTTTAATTGGTAACAAAAATATCTTTATCATAGTCTTGAAACCAGTATAAACTAGTAATTCACTTATAGTAAAATCTATTGATATATAAATTATAAACTAATATTTAATAGTTTGCTTTTTTTTTACTTAAAAATTTTATATTAACTTTAATTTAAAAAATCTATATTTATAGTTTAATATCCTATTACCTATTAGTGGTTCCTGACTCAACTCAAGCCATAGACTGCTTTTGTACACATTTTCAATCTCTACTTAATTTTGTCTCTTATCCATTGATATAGAGGTTTTCAAACTGTGTGCGTGATATGTTGTCAGGGTAGCCGCGGCTGTGCCTAGCTGCCGATTATGTTATCTGGTCTTAAAATAAACAACAATATTTTATCTATTTTATTTTAAAAAAGATTGTAAATTTTATTAAGGGCACCATGAACAAACTTCAGTTCTAAAAGGGTGCCACAAGTAGGAAAAGTTTGGGAACCTCTGCATTAATATATTAAATGATAACTGTAATAAGAAATAGGTAATAAATTAACTAATATTTTCAATGTCAAGGAAAATTATTAATTGCTTATTTATGTTCATCGCTCATAAAAAATTATGCTTAAGCAAACAATTTATTTTTTTATTAATTAAAAAAATAAAACATACCATTATTTTAGCTCAAATAAATGGCCTGTATATTTTCCTTTAAAACTCATCTTATTTCAGTAAAAAATATCAATGTCTTATTTTCAGTGACCATATCTGGATACTATGTTGAAAAACATATGTATTAGCACAGTATTTTTACTGAATTAACCTAACTGTATGGCTATTTTAATTGCATAGGTATTTAGGTAATGTTTTGGGTTCAAAACAAAATAAAACAAAATGCTTGAAAATTTATAATTAATAGTTATTGTCAACCAATATAACGTCATGACAAAAACTATGTACAAAGAATCTTAAATAATAACCAAAATAGTATGAACTTGCTGTATTTGTTTATTTTTTATTTGTTAAGTTAAAATCTTTTTAAATTAAAATAATGAAAATGAAAGGAAATTTTAAGCACTCAAATTATCAGTTAGGAATCTTTGTTTTCTGTAAAACTATTACTATATATTATGTTATTAATTATTTTTCAGAAATTATACAATAACCAATTGAACTTGATTTTATGTTTTAATTAACACATTTATCATGAATTCAAAAAATAAGTTAAGTCAAAGTAAGAATTAATTTTTTATGTTATTTTATGTTCATCAGTAATTATATAATTTAATAGTGTATGATTTGTTTCTATTAGAGTTCAGTCAAACAAATTCACAATATAATGATGAAGATTGGTATAATGGAAGTATTAAATCTATCACTCTTGAAAATTTTATGTGCCATTCAAATTTTCATTTAACATTGAATCCTCGAATTAATTTTATATCAGGTTTGAATGGTAGTGGAAAGAGTGCTATTCAGACTGCTCTTGTTGTAGGATTTGGTGCCAGAGCTATCACCACCAATCGTGCTAGTTCATTAAAGTCACTTATAAAGTATGGACAATCATCAGCTACTGTATCAATAACCATAGCAAATAGTGGAGAAGGAAATGGTGACTGTGGTCCTTACAGGCCTGAAGTTTATGGTAAGCAAATTACTATTGTCAGACAAATTACAGAGTCATCTACTACCTATAAATTTTTAAATGAAAATAATAAAGTTGTTAAAGGCTATAAAAATGAATTAAAAAATTTGACAATTCATTTTAATATATTAGTGGACAATCCAATATGTGTCATGAATCAAGTAATGGTTAAAACATTTCATAAAAGTGCAAATCCTAGTGCAAAATATGATCTTTTCTATAGAGCCATATCTGCCAATGTATATAATGAAAATATTGAAGAAACAAAATTAATTGCAAAAGAGTATTCAGAAAAACTTGAAAATATTAAAAGTGTTTTGACACAATGTTATAAAGAAGTAAGTGAATATGAGACTTATGAAAAAAAATCTAAACAGTTAGAAACATTGAAAAATAATAAATTTTCATATGAAAACGAGTATGCTTGGTATATTGTTCAACAACGTGAAAAAACTTATGAAGAATGTTTACACCAAATTGAATCTCTTAAATGTAGCTTGTCTGAAAATACAGATAAAACAAATATTTTAGAACAGAATATTAAAACAAGTTCAGAAACCTTGATGGAAAAAAAAAATGAATTGAATAATATTGAAAATACTCATGCAAATAATCATATAGTTTATATGAAGACAAAAAAAGAATTACAAGAAAAAATCAATGAGTTTGATTCAATGAAGCAATCTATTAGAAAATATGATTCTACTTTAAAATTATTGATTAGTGATAGGAAAGAATTAGAAAAACACATAGAAATTGAACGTCAAAAAGGCAATACTAATACTTTAGCACAGTATAAAGAAATGTTAGAACAATGCGAGCAAAATTTTTCTGAAGTTGAGGCAGCATGGAAAACAAATATGGAGCATGAACAAATTCTACGTAATACAGTTGATGAATTAAAGCACAGAATTGGAAACTTAAAGAACAATGAAGTTACTCCTTTACAAAGAAAAATAGGAGAAATTAATAGAAATATCAACAGTATGTCCCAACAAGAAGACAGAATCAATTTTTATGGAAACTGGATGCCACAATTAGTTAAAAATATTGAAATTGCTTTTAATCAAAATAAATTTATAAAAAAACCAATAGGTCCTATTGGGGCATATATTAAAGTAAACAATAACAAATGGATTTTTTCAATTGAAAACTTCTTAGGCCGAGGGACTTTAAGAACATTTTTAGTTGATAATTTTACAGACAATAAAGTACTTCAATCAATAATGGATAGAACAATTACTGGAAATGTAAGAAAACCAACTGTTATCACTAGCAAATTTTTTGATCAAGTTCATAACATTACTGCTAAAGAAACTCAAAACAATTTATTTCGTATGCTAAATTTCTCTAGTCCTGTAGTAGCTAATTGTCTGATTGATATCAATCGTATTGAAACAATAATGCTTGTAGATGACACAGTTGAAGCTATGTCTCTAATGGAAAATGTATCCAAAGTTCCTAAAAATTGTAACTTTAGTTTAACTCTAGATGGAACTCAAGTTTATCCTAGCCCTTCATATAGATTATACGCTTTACAAAATATTAATGAACCAATTCTCTTGCAAAGTGATGTTTCTATTGCTATTAATAATTTGAAACGTGAAAAAAAGGAATTAGAAGTAAAAATTAATAATCTAAACAGAGAATTTGAAAATTTTGCACAATCAAAAATGGAAAAACAACAACTTTTTGATAAGACTCAATCCGAAACAAGATTGCTTAAGGCCAAGTATGATGAATATTCAAAAAAAATAAATGAACTAAAAGCTAAATGTGAAGAAGAACAAGATGACAGAATGGCTACACTTACTGATGAAATAAATGAAGTTGATTTAAAAATAGCTAAAACCAAAGAAATAAAAGATAATTTCATGAAACCACTTTCAAAGTATGAAGAAGAAATTGATATAATAAATGAACGATTACAAAAAACAAAATCTATTATTGATAATACTGATCGTTCTAAATTATTGGAAAAAATTGAGACCTTTGAGTTTCAAATTAATAAATATAAAACAGAAATATTGCAAATTAATAATAATTCAACTGAAAAGAAAGAGATATTAAGTAATTTAATTAAAAAAGTAGAAAATGAAAAAAAAAATCTAGAAAAAGAAAAAAGACAAGCTGAACAACTATGTGAGAAAATTCAGGTAATACGCAACGAGGAAGATATAAGGAGAGATATGGAAGAAATCAATCATAAATATCAATTATTAGAAATGGAGTTGAAGAAAAGAGGTGAGAACCATCTAGTCTTGAGAGATGAGTATAAGAAGAAAAAGGAAGAATTTATTCTTCATAGCGCTTTATATAAACAAATTGTAGATATTTATAGAGCCAACAAAAAATCTGTTGAGCTTAGTACAGTAGCTCTTAAAAACTATATTGAGTTTGTTCGATTGAAAGTAATTGAATCTTTTGACTTGGTGCTTATGTTACGTAAAATTAAAGGCAAGCTTGAAATTGATCAACATGAACAAAGTATGATAATTTCAATGTTTGATAACATAAGTACTTCGTGTGCGTCTGGTGGTGAACGAACATTTGCTACAGTTGCTTTGATTTTGGCACTATGGAGCAACATGCAATTACCATTTTACTCCATTGATGAATATGATGTATACATGGACAATGTTAATCGTTTAGCTACTACTCAGCTGCTGATGATGGCTATTGAAAATCGTAAAAATCAATTCATATTCCTCACTCCACAAGACATAACCCATATAAAAAGTGCTGATAATGTTAAGATTGTAAAATTAAAAGAACCTAGATCATAAAAATTATTTATTTTTAGTTTTTACTGTTATAAGTAACAATAATTGATTGCAATTTCTAATGTTATAAATAACTAATTTAAAATTATTATTTTTTTTTTATATTTTCAATTGACAAGACTGTTATATTAATATTAATTTGTATGAACATACTTGTTATAGTACTGAACACATTGTCTATTCTACTTGATAAAAAGAAAAAATGTACATTAACCTCAATGTAATTCAATTATATTTTATTCATTCATTTCAAGTAATAATTACAATTATTATTGCAGTCTCAAAAATCTTAATTTTATTGTTCGTAAAATATTAATTCTAACAAAATAATAAGGATTAATACAAATACATACGACATACTGTTTAGTAATTCTGTTTTAACATACAAAGAAATGTTTGTATAAAAAATTTTTAATAACATCTTGTTTGGAAATTTGTTTTTTTTTTTTTTAATTTTAATTTGTTTTTATACTACTATTTACATTATAATTTTTATAATTTTAATAAACTATAACCTATAATAGTCATAATGGCTTTTAATGTTAGTAGTATTACTATGTATTGTATGTTTTATTAAGTACTTAGATACCTATATAACTTGCTTCAAGTGAGTGCCTAGTAATCAAGGTTGGAGACATGACTGCAACAAGATAATTAAATATGGTTTTTGTGTTATAAATGTTGGTTAAAATTTTCTTGTTTAAAGCATCAAAATTAAAATTGATATGTTAATAAATGTTTTTCATATTATATAACTGAGAATGAGACAGTATTCTTACTTAGTAAATCAAAACAAAATGAAATAAAAAAAGAATTATCCAAATTAGTTAAAACATGATTTGTTGTCTTTTAATTAAATAGTAAATTGTAACTTGTAATAAATAAATATATTTTTAAATATTATATTTACAATATTACTAAATATATATTATACAATATACATATTATATAACATATTAACTTCTCTATTACTATTTACTACCTACTTGTCTACCACTATTTCAATCTGTTTTGCTACGGTAGAATGATAGTATCATACCTATTAATTATGATACTGCCTATTACAGTAATTAGCAAATGCTTAAATGCTTTTAAATAATTATTTAAAGCAATCCTCGTATTAAAATATTTTTTATATATATATATTTACTATTTAAAAAAACTAAAAGTTAATTCATTAGTATATATTTAATCCCCTTGGAGCGCTAGTATATCCTTAGACTTTGAAATTTAGCTTAGGACTTCGGAACTTCTTATCATGTGTCGTTGAATTTGGGTATCACTACTATCACTATATTTTAATTTTTATTTTTTAACTCATATTTCCTGGTGTAAGTAGTTAAAACTATTTTGTAAATGGAAAACGATTAAGATTAACGATTTTATAGTTAAATAGTTAATATTTCGTAAGTAATTGATAATTTAATATCTGTATCTGTTTTTATATCTATATATCTACTTTATATATTACATTTTTACTGTAGAAAAATATATTTGAAAATAAACTATCAATTTAATAAGACATTATAGATAGACTATTATTTTATTATTTGAGTTTTTTTTTATTACTACTTATTGTTTACTATTTGTATTTAGATATTTTGCACAATGACTTCACATGTAAATATGATGAATAAATGCAAAACGCTATTACCAATTTTATCGCACAATCTTCATAAAGGACAATCTGGAAGAATTGGTGTTATTGGAGGTTGTGAAGAATACACAGGAGCCCCCTATTATGCAGCCATTAGTGCGCTACGTACTGGAGCTGATCTTGTTTATGTATTTTGTTTCAAATCTGCTGCTCCAGTTATAAAATCATACTCACCAGAACTTATTGTGTTACCATATTTGGACAGTCCAGATTGTATTGACCGTTTAAAGCCCTGGTTAGAAAAACTTCATTCTCTGGTTGTTGGACCAGGACTTGGTACTAGCCCTATTGCTCAAGATGCTGTTAGACGTATTTTTGAACACATCAGTAGAGAATCAAATTTTAACAATAAAAGAATGCCAATAATAGCTGATGCAGATTCTCTTAATGTAATTGAACCAGAAACATTCCGATTTTATAATGGTTGCATTTATCTTACACCAAATGTTCATGAATTAACTAAATTATCTAGTAGACTGATTGGGCGTCAAACATATGAACCAACAGTGACTGATGTTCAGGCTCTTATGAACAAATTAGGAGGTAATTATGTTATAGTATTAAAAGGAGCTGAAGATGTTATAGCAAACATAAGAGGGACTTTAGTGTGTACCGAACCAGGTTCAGCTAGACGATGTGGAGGCCAAGGTGATATACTAGCCGGAAGCATGGGTACTTTTGCTTATTGGGCTTCCAAGCAAACTCACTATTGTGATGAATTAGATCCAGAAGTTCTTGCTGCTTATGCAGCAAGTGCACTTACTAGGCATACAAATAAAATAGCATTTAAAGCAAAGGGTCGAAATATGATTACAACAGATATTGTTGAATTGCTACCTAATGCTTTCCAAACTTTATTTAACAACTGAAAAAAATATATGTATATTTATATATTTATTTATTTTCATACTTGATCAATTGTTATGTTATACAATAATTTGACACTTTATTTTTATTATAATTATTCCTTAGCAGTAATGTTAATCAATTAAAATTATTTTTTAAGGAATTTATAAATAATAATCTTAATAATTGGTACTATATAATATGTCTGAGTTTTATTGAATAAATGTAATATTATCATTGTTATTCACAAAATTTAATCTTCAAAAATCTTTAAGAAATTTAAGTATATGAGAATAAAGTATAAATAGTTATTAATATGTTTACTTTTAATTTTATTAGGTAACAAACTTAAATTTTACCACAATGGAATTATTAAAAATAATGTCACACAAAATATTTAAACTGAAAAATAAAATTATTTCAACATTACAATAAGCAACATAGGCACAAATAGTGTTTGTAGTTTGGGGAGGGGGGCTGAAATCAAAATCTATTTCAAAAACCTTAAAATTATAATATATAACAGTATTTACTGACAGACAAAAGTCATTAATATTTGGGGGGCTTAGCCTACCCGCTATTTGCGCTTATGATTAGCAAATATAGTTACTTATCTACATTTGCAAAATAATTTCCTTAATCCTTTATAATATAATTAAAAATTAACTCAATTTTGAAATGTTATTTCACAAAATTTGCTCTTGATAACCAATACATGAAATAATATTATTAAAATTTAAGAATTATATTAACTTAGTACCATAGATCAAGGTGATTTGGAAATTGGAACTACAAGGTTAATGAAGCAATTTGGTTTTTGTTTAAACATATCAACTATCAAGTGATCTGTAAAAATATTTGATATGATTTAATTCTACCTCCATTAGCAATAAATCACAGATTTCTATACTATATAGAAATCTGTGCAATAAATTTATAATTTGTATGATAATTGTTAACTTCAACCAAGTGATTAATCTCATTGTTACCACCAAAAAAAATAACCAAACATTTCTCGCAATAACAATGATTTTTTCAATGCTTTCAAAAATAATTCAGATGTTAGTGAATAAATTCAAGTTTAAAGTTATGTATATTTTTATGAATTAAAGAACACTTCAAAAGAAGAATAATGCAGTTAAAACTATAAAAATATTTTTTTCCAATTTTATAACCTAAGTTTTATTTTACAGAAAAAAATTGAGGTTTAATTGTAACACCAAAAATGTATAAAAAAAATTAGTAGTAAAAAACTAAAAAAGAAGAAATTTCCAATTCTAATAATATTAAAGCATTACATTTTGTTATTAAGTACCTATTTTATTGAGTTTTTTTATACGTTTAATAAGTTGCACATATTTATTTTAAAATTATGTGTACTCTGTTAAAAAAGGTTGTCAACCATTTTATTTTTCTATATTTACTTAAAATTTGTTTAAATTAATTTTTAAAATAAATATTTTATACAAGTCACCCAAAAATTAAGGTGACTTGTAATATTTATTTTTTATTTTTTTAAAAAGCTAGTTTGGCTCGAAAAAAATAAATAGAAGGTCTTGTCCTATTTATAACTTTTATGACTTATGCAAAAATGTAGGTATTTTTTGTAGTTCAGTGCAATTTTTTTTTTAAGCTTAAAATACTAAGAAGTATGTCAAAATGGTTTCATGTCACCTCTATCTACGATACTCAATATTTAAAAAATGATTTAAGTTACCGTTACACCTATGTAGCTAAACTGTATAAGCAACCACGACAGGGTGTCCAATAAAACGAATTCAAGTAAGGTAATTCATATTCACTTGTATTAGTATTACTATGCCCTTTAGCTTAACATCATAACTCAAATATTTTTTACTTAAAAAAATAAAAAACAATAAATGCAATACGGTGCCTATATTAAAGAATATACTATTTAGCGTATTAGCTATTAATTAAATGTAAAATTAACTTTGGGATCTCATTTGAGTTAAAAATTAAAAACTCTTAATGAATAAATCTAAAATATTTAATGCTTAATATAGTCAACAACATTACAAAAAACCGGAAAAGTTGCTCTGCTGAATTATCTGTATAGCAAGTTTTGAGTATACAGTAGAAACTCGATTAACCGTCAATGTCGGGACCGGGACAATGACGGTTAATCTAATAGACGGTTAACAGAAATACAATAATACAAAACAATTTTTCAATAAACGTATATATGTATTTTACAACGTAATTTTCAGAAAAAAATAAATATAATAGTTATAAAATAATAATAAATAATAAATATGTACTAATAAATAATAAATACTAATAATGTAAATAATATGTAATATGTAATAACTTAAAGAATACCATTCTAAAAAATATTAAACAAAATAATCCGTCATCTTCATTGCAAATTATCGCATTTATCGCAATCGCATCATTAATTTTTTTTTTTGATGGTGACCGATGACGGATAACAAACTGACGGTAAATCGAGTGACAGTTAATCGAGTTTCTACTGTACCTCATTAGTTACCGATGCGTACATCAATGTAATAGATGTGTCAAATTTGAGTTCAGTATTAGATAGGATAAAAGATGCTGAGCAGACAGTGTTTCAGCTAATACTTAGGATACTACTATATTATTAGGTAGGTACATAATTTTTATTTTTATTACTTTTATTAGTAGGATAGGACAATAAATAAAAGACTGAATTAAATTATTGTTTTATTATCAAAAATATATACCTAAATTATTATATTATTATACAATATTCACATTATGATTATTGACTATCTACGATTAATATTTTTTTCTTGATTACAACGAAGTAGTTAATAAGTTATAATTGAAGAGGATTTATTACCTATTTAATATTTGAATATATCTAACTTTGATACAATTTGAACTTTAACAGTCATGTATTTAAAAAAAAAAAGGTAGTAGTTATTTTCATGTCGGACGTGAAAGCATTTGTTTTCACTTTCTGCCCTATGATTGGTTAAATTATTGATAAAGTATTGAAATCCACATAATTTTGAATATTATAAAATACCTTAAGGCTATTTATATACCTATTTCATTATCTATTTCTTGATAAAAAAAAAAAACGCCGTCTTGTTTATTGGTTACATATTGATCAAACTCATAATTTTATGTTAATTTGTGTAAATATGTTTTACTGACTTTGCAAAACTTGCAAAACCATAGTTGGGATTTCATACTAGCATTTACTCTAACACAAATAAAGTGTGAGTAGTGTGACCATTCTAAACATCTGTTACAACAAATGGATTAAGTTGCAGCATATTTAGCACATATGGGACAGATCTAAGTAGGTGCCAATTTTTTAATCTGAATGACTTGCTGGATTGCAAACCAACTTTCTATTCAATTACTATTGACTTATCCATTACGTATTTGAAACCAATCACAGGGCAGGACGTGAAAATAACCATTGCGTAAAAAAAAAAAAGAATGTTGATTTTCATATAATTTTTTTTTTTTGTATTCTAGTAAAAATTTTAAAAGCACGATATTAAATCTACAAAAATCAAAGAAAAACTTTAAATTTTATGTACAAATTGTATATTTTATTTATAAATAGCATTAAACATTTTAAAATAAATATTTAGTGAACATTTTAAGTTATTTATGTATGAATAGCAAAAAAAATCATAGTCGATTTTATCAAAAATGACATTAATATGGCCATTGTGCTATAATTTTTTCCATGATTATTTTAAAACTTGTGGATTTTCTACTTTAGATCCCTTAAAGCAATAGCACTGAAATGAAAGATAATCAAATACCTATCCATCCATTCCACCCACAAAATTTATCAAGCAGTACTTAATTTTAGAGCCTTAACTTATTACATATAAAAATTTCTATAGAGATATTTTTTAATAGTATAATAGCATAATTAAAAAAAAAAAACTATAAAATTATTTTATACAATCTCATTACCCACCACCCAATAAATAAGAGTAGTGTAATTGAAAAATATCTTACAGATATAGGTAGACTTTGGTATCATTGTCTCTATAAATTAAATCCAATTTTTACCAAAAATTGCTGAATAATATTGAATATCGAAATACTTTTATTTTATATTATTCTTAATAATAATGTTAGGCACACAAAAAAAAAAATTTAAAAATCATTGAAAAAAGTAATACCATTCATTGTTTTGTATGAAATGTAAAAACATTAAATTTTACGTAAGTAATACATTTTTTATTTTTATGGACAAACATAATCAGTCACCAAACCAATCCTATACATATATCAGCCCAGAATAGTGATTACTGATTAGGCACTATTAGTCTTCCAAATTATTTTTCTATTATAACTGATGGATCGTGTGTGATTAATGATGAAAAATGTGTATAGGTAGATACTTAATTTTTAAGTAATACACATAATATGAAACCAAAAAGTGCTTTATTAAATATATTTCAAATCTCAATAGTATCTAATTTCAAAAATCTCCTAATTGTACAAGAACCTATGTTGTACGTACTATATAGGTACTAATCACATAAGTCATATTACAAAATTTCTGATTGATTTAAAAATGCATATATTATATAAATTGTTAATACACAGAATTAACGACATCACAGGATTATTTATTTAAATGCACAAATGTTACATATTTTTGTATAAAGTTTGGCTATTAAATAAATATACATTACTTGACATAATTCTAACAGAATGCTGTAAACCTAAACATATTAATTCAATGTTAATACTATTTGTCTAAATACTTGTATGCACTCATTAATGTACACAAATAATATATATATTGGTAACAATAATATTCATAAAGCAAACAATAAGCTGTATAACTGTTTAATTGTTAATCATATTACTAAACAAATATAACTTGATGAATCTTTTTTAACATAAGTATTTGTACAGTTCAGACTATGAAAAATAATTAAATTTTTTCTAAGATATAACAAAAATTTATATTTTTAAATGCTACAGTTTTAATACAATTAGATACTGTTTATCTAAATGATTTAATATCTCCTATAAATCATAACCTACTCAATAATATGTATACACATACCTATTGTTTGGTGTTTTGTAAGTTATTAGTTATTA